ATCAGGTTCCTCTCTGCCCAGCTTTCCAGCCTATCCAGGTCACGCTGAATGGCAGCACAGCCTTCTGGTGTATCTACCACACCTCCCAGTTTGGTGTCATCAGCAAACTTGCTGAGGGTACATTCTAGCTCTTCATCCAGCTCGCTGATGAAGAAGTTAAACAAGGCTGGGCCCAATACACTATCTAGATAGAAGCACACTGCCTTCTCTTGGAATTTGCGATCTTCTATCACACCCCTACTGGATGAAGCTTCTTCCAGAATAGAGTGGAAATAGCTAGCTATGTTCTGGGGAATTGTTTTCGGTTCATTTTTAATCTAGGCTGGTAGAAGTGCACGTTTTGCACAAAATATTACAGAAATTAGAGTACTCACAGGAGATGAGTTTCAGTTTTCTGTTTTAAGATCCATATTCATAAACCCTATGTATTACTACTAGATTATAGGCTTTTATGCTAGGGGGTTATTTTCAAATCTTTTACTATGCTGAAAAAAAGTTAAAGTTGAAATTTGACCAGAAGAAAAAGCAGCACCCAAAGATGACTATAACTCTGTAGTCTTCTGCCTGTGGCACTCCACACAAACTGTCATAAACATATACAAACATAGAGCAAGGGCCAGAATTCAAACTCCTTTTACCAAAAATATAAAGGGGTGAATCCTTACTCAACAACCTAAATGTGCTGTTCTTACATTTGTGAGGACAGAAACTTAACTGCTTTCACTGACTAACCAAAGGCAATGTGGCATAGCAAAGTGCCTGAACCAAAGCAAGAGAACAATGACAGACAGACTGGCATGGAGAAGATAGGCATTGGAAAGGAACAGATTCAGTTGAAGAGCTTGTTGAAACTCAGACAGGGAAGAAAAATCAGTCGAAGGTTGGATTTCAGAGGAGTCAGTCTCCCAGTACAAACATGGGAGTGATACAGGTTGAAAAATAAGACCCATGGCACATGCACTCAATAACTGAAGGTCTGACTGCTAGTGAGGCTGTAGCTGCATATCTACAGTTACATTGCAGCTATCACTACAATTTACAGACTGCAGATAATGTGGTGGTACAGCCTTACGGTCTGACTCTACGACTAGCAGTCTCAGCAGGTTTGTCATCAATGTCAGTCCCTGTGCTGAAGACCCTGTTCCTACATATTCACTGCTACCATTATCTGTGCTGTGATAATGCCTCAAGAAGTGCACAAAAAAACACGTACCGTCAAGCCAGTTATCTGCAGAACTCTGTCCTGGAGGCCTGTGTTTCTTTAGACATCCTAATAACTATAACTACCCGTGTACATATTTCTACCTCTACATTTTCCTATTCTGTATTTAGCTGAATTATCAGTCTCTTGACTAAGGCTTCCTCATTTAAGATGATCAATAGTAATGACACTACAATGCTTCCAGCTTTTTTATCATTAGAAGGCATTGCTCAAAAATATGTTTTAATGATCACATCTCAGTTTTCTTTCCAGTACTTACCTACAACATAGTGAGATCTCCCCAGCCAGATGTTATACTTTGTCACAGAACTCCTATTTTTGTGGCTACTCTGAGAGAAAACTGCATATGAAATGTCATATTCTTTTATTCCAGCTCTCGGACAGGAAGAATATTCATTAGCATCGTATTTTTATGATGGCCAGAAATGCAACCATTACAGCATTAAAGTCTTGGTAGTTACTGTAGGAAGATTTTACAAGAACTGGAGATCTATGGAAGAGGGTCTAGCACTATTATACCATTTATAAATGCTTTCTTTGAGTTTAACAGATATGTCATCGCAGAGTAAACTATTTCCAACAAAGCCTGCAATGCTACAATTTGAGTGCTGTACACGCACTTTTGGGGTTTTACATTTTTGAAAGTTTTCAAAACTGTTTTTACTGTGCTGATATTTAAGATTATTAGAAATTCTGGAATCTGTAAAATACAGTTATTCAGTTATACAGGTGGAAAAAAGGTTTTTCTTCTGTACTGACTGACAGCCGGAACATACAGAATCTGGAATTTCCTAAGAAGTGTGTTTTCAGATATAAAATATGGAAGTAAATATTTTTCACAAAACTGTGCATCAGTTTTACAAGGATGGAAGTTCTGCCCAAACAGAAAGATTAATTTCATAAAAAAGCAATAGCCCCACATTAAACATAAACCTACAAATGGAAATCACTCTCTGTTAAAATAAGAAGAGGCATTTAAATTTCAGCCTCCCAAAATCCAGCTGGATATCCTTGCTGTGTGGCTTTTTTTTTTTTTTTTTTTCCCAGCCTGGGGGTGGATGAAGCTGGGTATTAGCTCCAGTCTGATGTAGAATTGGGCACTTTCTAAAACCCTGACATTTTTACAAGACACAAAGATTTTCCATCAAGCTCGTCCAGGACTGCACCAATTGTGAGACTGTAAAAGAGAGTTGCTGATTCTGAAAATGCCTGTATTCCGCCTATGTTAGGTTTTAAATGGTATCTGCAGAACCATTTACGCAGAACTTTCTGTAACAGTCCTTTCTGAAATGACACTTCCCAGCACAATACAGACAGAAATGACATACTGCATGACAGGATTACCTTCAGCCAAGCCTTTTTCCGTAACTGCAATAAAGAAATCAAGTCTGTCAAAGACATAACTGCCCTTTCCTTTGGCATGCTGAAAACTGTTAGCTCATTAGGTCCTGGATAGACACTGTCATAATCTCACCTAAAATTCACTTTCATTTTACCACTGTATCTCCGACTGTGTATATAAACCAAGAATCAATCTTTGTGTTTGTTCTCCTTTCATGTATAAACACAGTATATTTATATAACTGTGAAACCCATTTTTAACTACAAGAGAACTGGAAAAATGAACTTGTCATTTGTGTTCAAGAGTAGTTGATAGACCCTTTTCCCTATTTTGGTATCTTTAGTAGAGTATGGATTTTAAGACATGATGTCAAGTACCCTTATCTCATTGTTTCTTCATAATGAAGTCTGCATTTTCTGATATGTTAGGGGACTGACATGACTATCAAACACATTTTTGTATTTTTACCTAAAACACGTTGTTGCAGACTATATCTGTCATAATTTGTCAGACCAATTCAAGATATGGGCCTTAATATAAAAATTAAACTAATTTGTGTTCTTGATCCCTTAGAACAAGATGTTCTCTGCTGCATTCTGAAGTAAATGTGAAAGATTCAAGAGATTAGCTAACAGCTTGAAAGACTGCATACAGTGATGGCAACACTTTATAAACTGAATTCACTGGTTTGCAATTTGGAGATTTTTCACTACTTAATTTCTTTCCTTTCTTCCATAAAAAGAAAAACAACAAAAAACCAAAACTAACTCTGTCTGAAAATTTCATGGGGAGAAACAACCTAGAAAGGTTATCTGTCATTTCATGAACAAACACAGAACAAATATACTCTTTTTTGTACCCAAAATTAAAAATCTTATTAGTTCTCAGAACAAGAAAGATGACATATTGTAAGGTAGAGTTTAAAATTTAAGTACAATGAATAAAACTAATTCAGGAGTCACTATCTTAAAACTTACATTGTTCTTGACATGAATCTCCCTTTATAAAAAGGAGAGATACCAACCAATAAAGTAACTTTATTCTATTTCTCAAACGCATCCCTCAATTTTATACCATATTTTCCATTAAAAAGAAACAAGGAAAACAAAAATGTTTTTTAAACTTAGGAAAATACTCCAAAATGGCATACACGTTCATCACAGGAAAGTTCAACAACAATTAAACCATAGGTGACGTATTTAAATGGGAAAAGTTCCATTTAAGAAATAATTTTGAAACAAATTCTTAAAAATGAAGAATTTGTAACTATGACACTCCTATTGTAAATCAGGATAATTCCAACAGCTCTACACCTTGCCAAATGTCTAAATTATAGATAGCATGAAGTAGAAAACAATTAACTAAAGGGAAAAGGAATCTAAAAGCTCCTTATAAAAACATAGGGCAGTGCTCACTGTTATTCAAGCACTTTAGTAGCCACATCCTGCTTCTATTGACTGCAGTGGAAGCTTTAGCATTGACTTCAAACAGGTGCAAGTCCCATGAGACTAAACGGAATAAAATGTACAGTCACGGTATGAAAGCAACAGTGTATAAAGTGTGGTGAGACAGGATATGTAATTCCAATCTGGTACACAAGAATCTGACAAAGCTATTTAAATGCAGTGCCAAGTAAGGATGCAACTGAAAAACCAGACATTTCTAAACAGAAATTTGGCAGGACTCCATTCAATGCTACAAGGAAAGCACAGGAAAAATGCTACAGCAATGAGAGTGCTAAACTATAGTGGGGGGGGAGAAAACAAGGGAGACCCAGAAGCAGCAATAAGCATCACCCTGTTCTGTAGCAATACAATATCACTTGTTCAGGATGCAGCTGTTGGCATGCCTTGGTGGATACTGCAGACTGGTCTGCTGTGAGAATTGTTGGGACTGAGACCCAAGTATATTGCCCATTTTCATTTATTCTTGTCTGTATTTTCATGAGCATTTGAAGATGTTTGGGGACCTTTGTTTTAAGTCGCATAATCTTCAAAGAGAAGTCTTAGATTATATTCTTATGTCAGCTGAGCTATGCATGATGTTCTTAATTCTATAAAGTAGCTGAGACGTCATTATATCAATTAGAAGCTGGTCAAAAAATACTTATCCCAAAGCAAACTATGTGACTTCAAAATTTCTTTCCAAACAGAATGAGAAAAGAAAGCTATGTGACAGAGAAATTGTCTAAAATAAGGGTAGTAAACATGAAACAATCTTAATATTAAACTCATCTAGATGAGTATTACAGCAGGATGACCGAACCTCAACATTTAAATTTAAAACCAGGTTTTGATGTCAAAATCAGGACTGAAGGTAACAATTTTGAAGGGAATAAGGCAAGACTACAGATGATTGTAAAAGGTAAGGCAGACAAGAAAGGAAGCAGCTCTTCTATAGTTAATAAGTTTCTGTGATGAAAAGGTAAACATATACCTGTGCAAGCATGGGAAATCCGAGGTTCCTGCATCCATTACAAGGTGTCAACGCCTCCCATAAACCTGAAGGACCACACGTATTTTCACCTGCATCATCATCATCTTCCTCTCTTGGTGATAAACATGTTGAAGGTGGCCTCTGTGCATAAAGAAACAGTACTTTCAAATTAAACACAGTGACATACGGTAAAAAAAAAAACACTTGATGAAAAGAACTTAGAAGATTCCCATTTATAAATTCCAAAACATAAACTGCTCTTTTAATACAAAGTTCTTACTCAACTGTTAATCTGCTCTATGAAAATCACACTTTCTAAGGGAGGTGCATATTGACCTATCTTCAATTATAATTTAAATATGAGTGAATATAATAATACACATTAAAATGTGTATTTCTTTATTATCAAATAATTGGTAATTTCGACTTCATTTTACTTTAAAATTCACTTTAACGTCATTAAGTTTAGGATATCCCACAGAGAATAAAAACCAACATTTAAAAAAACCCCAAAACACTATCCCCAAGAAGGAAATAATATAAGCTAAGGTGATCTTGCTTCAGTAGTCATCTGCTGTGTTCAGAAAGTACAGCTGTATCACAGCTGTAGGCTTAATTGCCCGGATTAACCCCAGGTTTTTGCTGAAAAAAAAAATTAACTCAATCAAAATATGAGGTTTCAATTTTTATAATTTCCAAAAATAAACATGTTAGCTTATTCTGTAGGTACAAATTTTATTTTAAAATGACCTTTCTTATTTTTTTTCATTGGCTAGAAGAGATGAAAGATATCAGGAAAAGTCATTCAGTTGTGAGCATTAAGGCTTCCATATTGGTCTCAGGGATAAAGGAATAATGCTGATCTTTGCTAAAACGAGTATCCTAATTTTTTATGACAGCCAGAAACAGGAAGAGTGGACAGTTCCGACTTACTTATGTTACTCTGCTACATACAATAGTCTACCCCAAGTAAATGAATTGCAGTGGCAGCTTTCATTGATTTCAGGAGAAGGAGGAGGAAAGCTAAGCCAGTAATGAATTATTTTTAAAATCAGACGTTAAAAAAAAGACATCAAAAACGCACATTTTCTCATATCATAATTCTTTGCCCATATAATAATTCTTTGTCCATCTAGAATACGAAATAGCTGTTCTAGCCTGCTTGACATTTGTTTGTGCAGCCTACCTGATATTCAGATAGTAAGTGCTGTCTTTAGGAATGCTTGTTTGTCTTTAACAATCTTTCAGAAGTGGCTGGATCTTTGCTTTACCAACACTATGCTGTTTGAGACAATGGGTGAACACATCTATTAATCTGGTGGTAACATTAGCTCTAAAGCACTGCTATGAGGCCCATATAAAAATATGAACCCCACCACTTCACTGCAGATTGTTTTAGCCATTAGAATAAAGAAATGTGTGGAGTCTGTTGCAAGAAAGGGAAAGCAGAGGTGAAGAAACTGGCTGAATGGCCAAACTCAGAGAGTCGTCATCAGCAGCACAGAGTCTAGTTGGAGGCCTGTAGCTAGTGGTGTTCCCCAGGGGTCAGTACTTGCCCAGTCTTGTTTAACTTCTTCATCAATGACCTGGATGAAGAGTTAGAGTGTACCCTCAGCAAGTTTGCTGATGACACAAAACCGGGAGGACTGGTGGATACACCGGAAGGCTGTGCTGCCATTCAGCAAGACCTGGACAGGCTGGAGAGTTGGGCAGAGAGGAACCTGATGAAATTCAACAAGGGCAAGTGCAGGGTCCTACATCTGGGGAGGAACAACCTCATGCACCAGTACAAGCTTGGGGCGACCTGCTGCAGAGCAGCTTTGTAGAGAGAGACCTGGGAGTGCTAGTGGATAAGAGGTTGACCATGAGCCAGCAGTGTGCCCTGGCTGCCAAGAAGGCCAATGGCATCCTGGGGTGCATTAAGAGGAGTGTGGCCAGTAGGTCAAGGGAGGCTCTCCTTCCCCTCTACTCTGCCCTAGTGAGGCCCCATCTGGAGTGCTGCATCCAGTTCTGGGCTCCCCAGTTCAAGAAAGATGAGAAGCTACTTGAAAGAGTCCAGAGGAGGGCTACGAGGATGATCACAGAATCATAGAAAGTTGTGCGTTGGAAAGGACCCCTAGAGGTCATCTAGTCCAACCCCCCCGCAGCAAGCAGGGACACCCCTAACTAGATCAGGTTGCTCAGAGCCCTGTCCAACCTGGTCTTGAATGTTTCCAGGGATGGGGCCTCCACTACCTCTCTGGGCAACCCGTTCCAGTGTTTCACAACCCTCATTGTAAAGAATTTCTTCCTTATATCTAGCCTAAACCTACCCTGTTTCAGTTTAAAACCATTACCCCTTGTCCTGTCACTGTTGTCTCTACTAAATAGATTGTCCCCATCTTTCCTATAGGCTTCCTTTAAGTACTGAAAGGCTGCAATCAGGTCTCCCCACAGCCTTCTCTTCTCCAGGCTGAACAAGCCCAACTCTCTCAGCCTGTCCTCATAGGAGAGGTGCTCCCATGATAAGGGGACTGGAGCATCTGTCCTATGAGGAGAGGCTGAGGGAGCTGGGCTTGTTCAGCCTGAAGAACAGAGGGCTGCAAGGGGACCTAATGAATGCTTATAAGTATCTTAAGAGTGGGTGCCATGAGGATAGGGCCAGACTCTCTTCAGTGGTGCCGAGCAACAGGACAAGGGTAAATGGGCACAAACTGAAACATAGGAAGTTCCACAGAATCACAGAATCACAGAATGGTTGGGGTTGGAAGGGAC